TTCCTGGAGATTAATTACAGATGAGGATTTGTTGCTGCTGATGTTCTTGAGGGGTGTGGTCAGCTGGTCATCTGACATGGGCCACGGCCCGTCTCCCTGGATGCTTTCCTGCCATGTCTTGGCTAATGCTTTTGAAGGGAATGTAGTTTCCATAGATACTTAAAAGTTCCATTTACCTTTTCATCATTAGGCTCAGTTTGCATCTGTACGTTTCGAATGAAGGTCAGCAGCCACATCTGAGCTGGAGTGGAGCAGGCTGGGCGTTTGGGTAGAGGCAGAGTCTGGTGTGAATCTCGGTTCTGCCTCCAGCCAACTGGGTGACCTTGACAAGTTATTTAGACTCTTCAAGGCTCAGTTTCCTTATCTGTAAAATGGGGAGGACTTCTATTTTATAGTTCTGTTGTGGGATTAAATAACATTTTGAAAGTGCTTTATAGTAACTTCTGTCCCTTTTAATCCCATCTGTTCACCTATCACTGTATTTCATTTCATGTAAAATAATGTTTTCATATTCTTTCCTCCTTTACCTACTAGAGACTTGGCAGTGGCTCCGTATGTTAGAGTTAGCTTTTCATTTTTGATTGAAATTAACTCACTGTCTGTTCGTATTTAATATAAATAGCTTCCCATTGTTTGATGGCCTCTATCAGAACTGTAGAGTTCTTATTCTCACGGGAATTCTTAGAACAAGACATTTACAGGTCCTCAGATATTTAGTGCTTTGTCTCCTGTGATTTTCTAACAACCCTGAAGGTAACTGTTATTGTTTTAGACTTTTCAGAATAATGTTTACATACATAACTACTCAGCCGGGGTTGCCCAGCAGGTGAGCGCAGAGCAGGGCAGGAGCCAGGCTATCCCTCTCTGCCTTTCTTCTTTCCCACTGAGGTCAAGTACACCTTCTCCCCACTTGTTAAATCATCACAACTGGAGGGAGGAGGAGCCTTTTCTTCTAATTCAAGCACCTTTGTTATCTAGGTGCTGAGCGACGGTGGCTTTCACGTCTTGTCAGTTGACTACCGAGGTAGGTGTTAGGAACAGTCTACGGAGATTTTTCAATCTCCTTTCAGAGGTTTTGATGATGACCTCTCCCTTTGGAGGCAGTGATACCGTGTTTCCCTTTTTTTGCTGCCAGGATTTGGGGACTCTACAGGTAAGCCCACGGAGGAGGGACTCACTGTGGATGCTGTTTGTGTCTATGAGTGGGCCAAGGCGAGAAGTGGAGGTACCCCCGTGTGTCTGTGGGGCCACTCTCTGGGTACAGGGTAAGTGAGATCTGAATACGGGTCCTTAGGTGGGCCCTTTAGTGTCATAGCAAAGGCAGCAGTGAGTCCTGGGATGGGCACTGAGCCAGGAGACAAGGGCTCTTCTCTGGTGGCCAGAGAGCTCCCCATCTGTACGCCCGTCTGTAAAACACGCGAGGGCCTTCCAGCTCTGTGGTTATCTTTGACATTGAAGTTCATTCTGGAACTCTCTTTGGGAGTTTTAAAGAAATGGATTCTTGATTTAGGGTCTGTGGAACCCTTTGAAATCCTGGGCAAAATTTTATGTCCGTGTGTGTTTTCTAAGCAGGGACCCCAGAGCTTTCACCAGATGCTCATCCTGGGTGTTGCCTTTTCTCCTGGTCGAGTGACGGCTACCTCATTGCTTCACTTATGTGCTAATTCTCATTGCTTTACAGAGTTGCAACAAATGCTGCCAGAGTACTGGAAGAGAAAGGTAAGATAGAATGCTTACAGGGTATGATTTCCTGGCTCCAGGTGCAAAAATAAAAATAATTAAGAGACTGTTTTGTGCACTTTGAGCACACAGATGCCCAAAGCATCCCAACTTTGGAGAGCTGACGGAGTAATAAATTTTCTTTCCCCCCTCCATTTAATATAAAATACAAGCTGTTTTTCCAGGTTATGAAATTAAAAGTAAATGTTAAGAGGTGAAGGAGCCCTCCTTGTGAAGTGATATTCATTTGAATTACAGGAGAGGAAAACAATACATTATGAAATATCAGCAGGACCTGCTCCCTGCAGCCCTTCTTATGTAAGACTGTGTTGTGGTTTCTCACAGTGATCTGATAACTGCATGTATCACAGTCTCCTGGGTGTGCTTGTTTGTTAAATCTACAGCTTTCCTGGATCACACCTAGCTGAATGAATTAGAATCGACGTGAATGCCAAGTCATTTTTTCAAGATCAAAAGTTAGAATTTATCCCACATATAAAGATGCTGGGCAAGTAAAAATAGGATATTCATTACCCTAATGCTATACAGTTTAAACATTCCAAAGCCAATTATCTGCTTTTTGGGGTTTTGTTATGTTTTTTGCTCTATTTTTGTATATGTAGTTATTTTTTATTAAGTGCTAGGTATTATTTATGGAAAATTATAGAGACGGTATAAAGCTTGGGGTGGTGTTATTGTCTTCCAGATAATTTATAATAGTAAATATAATTTACTTTTCTCCTGAAAGGTAGTTATGGTAGGAATGTGTCACCTTAGTCCAATCAGAAATGGAGCTGATTCAAAGCTGGGCTTGGTTCTTTATGAGGCTGGTCTATTTCTGTATTTCTGAAGTGTGGTTCCCTTAAGATCAAAACCAAAAGCCTGAGAAATGGACTAGAGTTAGCTTCCTTCTCAGACCCTGAATTCTAATTTTCGTCCTTTTGATTCTGTGAAATGAAATGCTAATCTCCTCAGCTGCTCATGTCACTTTCAGAGCTGCTGCTTTGAGGGAAAGAAGCTCAAACTCTCTGGCTTTCCCCCTTTTGGTATTAGCTCTGCAAATTCTCACTGATCTGTAGCCCTCAGATACCTTCAAATACGTACCCTGCTCCCACTCTCAGGTGGTCTCAGAGGGGGGTGTTGCCCCAAACAACAAGTCAGCCTTGGTGCGTTCTTCACAACGGACAGCACAGCACTCTTCCTGTAGACTTTGCTTTCTTACATTACCCAAGCTCTGAAGACCTGGCTGTGTTCTTAGAAGAGGGTAGTGGTTTTTCACTATTACGTGCATAGGACTCTGGGGTGTGGGGGGCTGGGAGAGCTTGTTAGAAATGCACATTCTTAGTCCCCAACCCCAAGATTCTGACTAATAAGTATGGTATGGGGCGGGGAGGGGTTCCATGAATTTACATTTTTTTTTTTTTT